AGAGTCTGAAGAGCTAAGTCCTTGTGCATGAATGCAGTCCTGGCTGGATTATGTTCACGGTACACTCAATCTTAAAAAAGTTTAGACGCCAAAAGCAAGAACATATTCCATGAACATGGACTGTTCAACTGTTTATTTCCCATTGGCTCAAAAATCAACTGTACTTGGGGTCATTTTTCAGTGAAAGGGCAGAAATTGCACCTGTAATTCACAATGACTATCTGCTAAATGTAAAAATCCTTCCCCAAGGAAAAGCGATAATGTTGTGCCATAAACACACATTCAACATAAGCAAAATAGTAAATTTCCTTCTAATCTTGTTGTTGAAAGTGACTGAAGTGATTAAAATGTTCACCTGAAGGTTCCAACCAAACAGCTGAAGTCTGGAAGAACTGTAAGCAGCCACGCTAACAACTACAGGATATGTTTGAATACATATAGAACTACCAACTCTGCCTAAAGTAAGAATTTTCAAATTCTTAGGCAATAGCAAAGCACATCTGATGATCCCTGCGTTTACCGCTTATTTCCTTTACTAAACCACTTAGTCACAGATGGCCCTGAATGAAAGGCTATGGATACCTTAATTACATGTTTCCACGTTGAAGTGAACGGACAACTTACCATCACTTCTTCTCCTGGAGCTTCTGTATTTGAAATTATTAGATTGTGATTGGCACAATCATCAGTCACATGCCTCTGCATTACCCCAGAGCCGCAGCAGCCACAAATTGTGATCAGGATTACTACAGAAAGGAAGTAAGTGAGGAAGAGACTATGAACTTTACCTTATAATGGTATCCACTTCTGGCTGATAATGAATTTTGTTGTATTAACCTTTTTAAAGGCCTAAGCATCAAGCTTAAAAAAAATAACTTATTTCCAAAAACGCCCATACTCAAAATGGTACAAATATACATTTTTTTTCAAACAGTATATGGAGTTTTCACTACACTGTTGAACTATTTCATTCTTCTAAAATGCATCTTGGTTTCCCCGAAATAAATGCAAGCATCCTTTATGAAAACACTGAGACTATACAATTTAAGAGTAATAAAAGAATTTGGACCAAATCCAGGTGAAAAATCCTGTCTTATGCCTATAACAAGGTTGTAGATAAGACATTTTTCACGTATGAATATGCAGATGTCAAATTACATCGTAAGGAACTAACATGCAGGTCCCAATACCAGAAACTTCTGCTTCACAGAAAAGGTCAAGAGAACCCTGGAGGACTTCAAGCATGATGTTACAGAAGAATCTTATTTAATTCCTCGTATTCAGCTTATCCCTCCCATAATATTACTTTGTGTAGCCAGGGGAGACTCGGCCAGAACCGATTTTGTGTAAAAGAATCACCAGCAACTACCTCTCCTAAACAAAGGATGAAACATCTCATTCAGATGAAATAAACTTTCCTTCTCTTTTCAAGTTAATAGCTTAAAAATAAAGAAGCCCGTGAGGAACAGAACAGTTCTGCCTAACTGAGCAACAAAAACTCGTGTGGAAACTGGCCAAAAGCCACTTTCAAGCTCATTTAGCTTCTGCAGCTACCAGCTGTCAGCGAGACCTGCACCAGCGGCGCCGGCGGGTCACCTCCTGACGCTGACAGACCCACGGCAGCACTGAGAGGGGGGATGCGCAGGGCAAAACCGAGCCACAATGAAACAAGGGGTCTGTGTGGGAGGGATGCAGTCACAGGCTAGCTGGTGTTTCACACAGTTGCCCTCCTGAGCGTGCCCGCATCTCAAAGTTCCACCTCCAGGCTCTAGCACCAGTTTGGGTACCTGCCCTGATTAGATAGAACATGGATCTACCCAGCCACTGAAATCGGTGCAGGTCCCAATGTTCTATCCCCCTGAGTAAGAACAGCGAGCTGAGAGTGAACAGGGGCAGACAGGTTGATCATCACCAGAAAAAACAGAAAAGAAAGATGAAAAAAAAGTTCAAACACTGAAATATTGGTTACTGTAGCATGTCCTCTGGTGATTTATAAAGACGTTATTAGCCAGAATATGTCTGATTCTGGTAAAAAAAAAAATTACCTCTCTTTGCTGTTACGTATCCCTGTCACTGCCTCAGTGGTTAACAGCAATATTAACCTGTTAAGAATCTGTTTGTCTTTGGGCAACTCCAGTTAACATAAGGTGTACCGAAGGGTTCGTTCTGCTGTCAAGTATCCAACCTGTCCTTCAACATCACATCGGCTCTTGCAAAATGCCTTGTGAAATCCAACGTCTCAGACACCCCATGTTTTAATCCATGGCACAAGGAAGGTCACAAAAAGCTCTAGGAAATTGATTTCAGCATTCCTACACCAGAAGTGTGCCTCCTAAAGCAGCAGTAAACTCGCACACAGACTTCACCATACTCGCTTCAAGACAAGATCTGATAAGCACTGCAAATCCCATCCTCTCTCAAGCACTGATGGCAGGTTTTTCAGCCTTGCTAACAGGAACACGCAGAACATCTTACAGAAAATGTATTTAAAAGAATAAACAAAAATCCACACGCAGTAACTACGGGACAAGGAGAGCAAGCAGCCTGTGATACCAATACAACAGAGCCGGTACGTTAAGTCAGCGGTGAGGGCTACACAACTCCTTAAATAAAAAAAGAAACGTTTGAATCAAGTTTGAATGGGGTTTTCCCAGCTAATTTTAAAACGAAGTGCTTTGCACTCCGTGTTAAAAACACCCAAGGGCACTTACGCAGCAGCAAGAGGGACCCCAAGATCATGGCCAGGATGGCCCACACGCCCAGGGTCACGTTCCCACCAGCGAGCGCACGGGTATCCTCATTGCATTCGGTTGGAGTGACGCAGTCGCAGACGTTAACTGTCACGTAGTTCTCTCCTACCTTCCCTCCGTTATCAATCACACTTACGGGAATAGTGTAGGTTCCAAATGGAATAACACCCTTTGGTGAAAGATACACAGAATTATCTGTAAAAAGAGACAAAACCAGATCTAGTGTTAATAATACCCGAAACTGTAATGACAAGTGTGACCACCATCACCATCCTCCCTTCTGTTACAGCTATACTGCTACCAGATCTGCACTTGCTAGTTCAAAGCCAGCTTAAATATGTCGCCACAAAACCACATCTGAGAAGGATTTATACTTCGAGCACCTTTTAAAGGTTAGAATTGAAAAAGCAAGCCTTATACAGCCTTCTGACATCGTATGATTTGAAACTCGGAAGCTGATTCAGTTCATTACAGTAAGTGACACTATCTGGGCTTACTAGTAAAGACTATCAGCTGAACTGACACTTATTAAAAGGGCTCCTTGTAGCATGATTGGAATAATTAACCGTGAATGTAATTTATACCTCTTCCAGTCTTTAGCTCTATTGCCATATTCAGTGGGAACAGCTACATCCAGTGGGAACTAAAATCCAGTCTGCTGCCCTAATTAGTGGCAATGATTAGTGACCATGTGTTTTAAAGGGCAAAAGAAGTAATTCGTAAAAAAACACGTGCAAGGCAGACACTGATGTACGTCTCGGTTGCTTTACGGTGAGGTATACGAAACTACATGTACCATCTAAAATGTTCTTTCAATTTGCTAATGCAAACCTCGAAACTCTCAGCTGTCGTTGCTCCCAGACTTGGCCCTCCTTTGCCTTTCATTAGTGGATGTTTCACAGAACACTTCAGAACCAGACTCTTTTTGGGCTAATTCATGACAACGTAGTAGCAGATGTACGTGCTGCTCTCGTTGCCATCATCTGGCACCCACCAGGAAACTACCACTGGCTATAAACTTTTTGTATCAGTGGATTTTAGGAAAAAACAAACAGTGATTCCTTTGGCAATAAATTGTTTCCCTGCTTCTATCGAAATCATAAAAATGAACACAAAAATATTAAGGGACATAATAATGTTTTCTTTCACCCAGCTCAGCTTTACCAAAAATGTGCTGGCTGACAGCAGTACTAAGACAAAAAACTGCCAGGAATTTTTAGTCAGCCTCTAATCAATTTTACATGAAGTTTCAGTTTTCCATTTCTCCACCATAATAGCAGCCCAAGGAAAGTTGTATTTTTTCTTTAGAGTATTAGCTATTTCATTCTTAAATTCCGTATGAATTATGAATGTACGCTTTTCCAGAGCTCTTGATGCACGGCATTACATCCATTTTTGTTCTCTCACCATTGCTCTACTGTTTTTACATCATTTCAGACAGCAGCTGACCGCTGACCCAAAGATGCGGGGGACACATTCTTATTTATTCTTTAAGGGGCAGAACATAATATCCTTCTCCTTGCCTTTGTGATGCCAACAGAGCCACCTTCGTAACTTCTGCAGACTGATCAAGAATACTTTAGCTGTTCCCCTTCATTTCTGGCGTACTCTTGACGCAGCAAACGAAACCGAGGAGTCACTAGAGATCACCAGGGCTACCCTGTCAGCCCCACTGACCATCCATCCACCCACCCATTCATCCAACCTGTTCTTACAGTCCAGTTCCCCCAAGGCGGGGAGCAGCTGACAGCTCAGCGAGGAGGAGGAAGCCTCAACATACCGTTGTGCCGCGTTATCTTCCACGTGGAAGCCAAGCTACGGTCAGTTATGCGGTACACGAAGGGTGTGCTGTAGGGAGACTCGTCACCGTCCTGGGCAGTCAGGCAGATGGGTTTCCTGTCTCTGCACATTATATAGTCGGTTTTAGTGATTCGAGGGTAATTCTTGTTCCCAGGCTGGATGAAAACCTGAATTGTTCCCGTGCCTGTTTTGCCATCTATGAGACAAAAACATCTACTTTCAGCACTTACTTCTAACATTCAGCGTATTTATTTCTAGTCTAAACTTTCACAATGAAACACCGTCAACTGTAAGATCCAAGCTTAGAAGTAAGGTAGAAAGCAGCAGCTGATTTGGCCAAAACACAGAGGGGGACTTCCCACAGCTCTCTCTTGGCTGCTTCTCTTTGCTTGGCTGGCTGTAGAAGGGATCAGCAGCTCCCAAAGCTCCGTCTTCTGCATGTGCAGACAATTATTTCGTTGAGCGTGTGTGTCTGCGTGGGGACAGGTACTGTTCTAACAGGAGGATGAGAGGAGAAAGAGCCCATAAACCAGGGGTGAAGGACGCTCAGCCAAACTGGGAGTCGAAAGCAGAAAGTGAAGGTCTCCAGGCTTTCTACTTACGGAAGAAGAAAATAAACTACACTTCTCCTGCCCTCACTTCCCCTGGGAACACAAACACTTTCCTGTCCTCTTCCCTTCGAGTCACCACACAGCGGCAGGATTCAGCAGTGACACATACCAGGTCACCAGAGTTTTCATGCAAGAGGTGAGTGAGCTCTCCCTCCTAATCGCAGTTTTTTCCAACGCAGGAACGGTAAATGCTTGTATATGCATTCCAGTGAAACTACATCACGTCTACTTTACAACGTTCTCTAGAGATACCCGATGGCAGATGCACACACCATGTTTACCTTATATGCAACACAAGTTCTAAACAATTTGAATTCATATTAGTTACATTCAATTTCAATACACGAGCTTTGGACAGCTAGGATTTTTAGCTGTAAAGCAACTTCCAAAGGGCTGCTCTTTACTCCCACTGATGTTTAAGCACATGAGGGCTCAAACTAAATCCTGCCATCGGATTTATAAAGGCAGTCCATTTTTCCTTTTTTAATGTAAGATACATATTTCAGACTTAAAAGCATGACCTATAAGCCTAACCTTTTTCTTTGATAAACAATTTGCTACATTTGGCATTTGGGAAGTGAAAGGTGTATTTAACCTTCTCAGCTAGAGGACGTTGAAGCAAAACTATGTCTTTTCCTACAATAAACGCATACACCCAAATTAATCAGAAAGAACAGACGATCACTCACATTAAATCAGTACCAAAACCTGTTTTAGAACGAGAATTTGAGCGTACAACCCTTCCTTTGCAATCAGAGCAATTTGTAAGAGCTCCCCACCTGGGCAAGAGATAGTGTGAGCAGCTACAGAACCTGGATGACTGAGAATAAGAGTGCAATAACATACAGCAATGAATACAGCTATCCTGAGAGATCCTTTTAAATTAAAGGTTTCCAAAGGCAAGACACCAAGAAGTTAAACAGAGGAGAAAACAGTAAGAGTTGCGAGGTCAACAAGTTTTTTTTCAAAAAGTTTTTACAGAAAGTTCTCTGCCTCTCTGTCTTGGTTGTCAACTTCACAGCTGACAGGTGCTATCACTTAAAAAAATAAAAATAAAAACCTCAGGAAATAAAAGGAATACAATCACAGGAAAATCTCTCTATTTAAACCTAACAAAAGGTTTTAAATGGCAGCAGCTAACTTTTGAAAACATTGAGAGTTTGCCCTGATTTCTAAATGCTTTCCCTGCTGTATGATATTCCCTAAGCATTGGATAGAGCGACCCCAAAGACAAGACCATGGACTAGGTGGGCCTCTGGTCTGAGCCCGTGCTGAATTTGCACACAAACACCTGTTACAGACCCCAACAAATACCAACAACATTTAGTACTCACTTCTGTCTACTGCAAGGACCGTGATATTGCATTGACCTCGCCTCATTTCTCCTACATCTCGGTCCAACACTTTAATGGTCCTGACTTCACCCGATTTTTCATCTATGCTGATCCAATTGCACTGGCCAGGTGGAATCCGGTAGCTATTGGGAATAATTTGTTTAGTTAAAAATCTCAAATACACACACACGTAGGTACATACATACATAAACATACACACATAGAGACGTGCATTCACATACACTCAGGTGTACGCATGCACCACACACATACACAGCCTCAACAACTATTTCCCCCTTCCCATATCCGACCCATCTCCAAATAAACCAGTCGCTAACAAACCTTATGCCTTCGCTATTCCCAGTTTCTGGATCTTCCGCCAGGTATCTCCCAATACTCGTCCCGATCTCCTCGCACTCCTTCACGTCCATGCGGAACAGGCAGGGTTTGAACACCGGCCCCTCATCCACGTCCAGGACGTGCACCGTGACGGAGCTGGTGCTCTGGGAGAGCTGTTGTGAATGGGGTGCCAGCATGTAGGGCGCCTCGTTGTTGACTGCAATCACAAGGACCCTCTGCTTGGCGCTTTCATAGTCCAGTCCCTGTAACAAAGGTGGGGTGTTGGGGGTTTTCCTTCAAACCAGTATGAAACTTGGTACTGTTTTCCCTGCCCTATTATTAATGGGATAAAACTGTACCATGTTTATTTACAACAGAAGTCGGCTATCCTTCTGGAGCATCCAGCTTGAGACACAGCAGAGGGACATGATTTATTAAAAAAAAAAAAAAAGTTAATTTTTTAAGTTAGCCAAAGAAAAGGACCTGAGGAACCACCCACAAGAAGATAAGCAGCATCACTGTAAAATTTTAGATGAATACTCCGATAGTCAATTACTAGTAGAACTAAACAGAACTAAATGCGATGGGGGATTTTCTCCGCCCCTATCTAGTTGGCCATTATTTTAGGTTACATATACTTCCTTTCCAGCACAAGTCAATCATGCTTCTTGCTAGCACCTGCATTTATTTCCAAGTAAGGCTTCACCCATTGCAAATACATCTCAACTTGTGGGGTTGATCAGTGTTTCTGGATAGAGCGACCCCAAAGACAAGACCATGGACTAGGTGGGCCTCTGGTCTGAGCTTTCTACCGTTTATGCTTCAGACAACTTCTCCAATGCCTTTAATACAGCTATTTATATCCTAAAGTCACAATACTCTCTAGTCTCTACACCATTACACTGAATGTAAGAAATTTCAGGTGAGTTAGTATACCAGGGACACAGCTTTACAAAAAGCTCTAACGATTACCAGCAACAAAAAACATAATTCATAAAAAAAAAACAAATTTAACTGGCATCTCTACCTTACAATTTACATCTTCAAATTTTAATATTAACCTTCTCTGCTCCTTAGAATTTACCTGTTATTGCAGTTTTAACAGATAAAGAAGCATGAAGAGGCAAAGGGACATGCTGGAGTACAGGAACAGTGGTCCTTTTATCTCCTACCTGTAAAGTACTGGATATAACAAGTCACTAAACTAACACACATGTATGCAGACTCCCTCACACCCCAGAAAAGCAAACCCAAAGTCCCTACCCTGCAAAATAAAACCTGGAGAGTTTTATACTGAGTCAGTAAGTTTAATCAATTCCCAGAGAGAACAAGACTGAGGGAGGTTCTCATCCCGCTCCTCTTTTGCCACACTCCCATTTCTGTTAAAAACCCAGCCATGAAGCACTCCTCAGTCACATCCCTAAGTCCAAACAACTCCAACTGTGGAACCAGGCAAAAGCATCAAGCTCTTCTGGAATGACAAACCCAAGGGAATTCCTTGAATTCTATGCAGACAAAACTGAGAAGCAGCCTGAAAGATGAGTTGTGCGGGTTAGGTACCCCACACGAGCCTCATTTGCACTGCATTGCGCAATCTGCTCGAGAAGGGAGTTCAGAGCGGGAAGAAAGCATGATCTCCCTGACCGTTGCAGATGTTGCTGAATAAAAAAAAAAAAAAAAAGAGTTCTAGATTATTTGTTTTAAAAGCAACACCTGAAGACGCATTCATTTTCCTCTAGAAGTTCCATTTTACTTACCTTAACAACACACAGTATTCCTTCATTTGTGCTCTTGTCTGTTGTAATTTCAAAGGACCCATCATCATTTCCTCTGATAATTTCATACACTGCTCCTGAGCCAGGAGAACCAAGTTCATCCAGATCAACAACAGAGACTCTCAGTATTTCTACATTCACTCTGTTTTCCTCCACTCGTGTTTCATACTTGAAGCATTAAAAAAAAAAAAAATCAATTTAAATCAGAGAATACTGTTCCATGATGCAGGATGGAAGAACACTGTATTGAAATAACACTGCTTAAACCCAAGGGGTCAATTTACCAAGCTGCTGTACGATTTATGTTGTTTTCATGCATTAGAATATTTCCCCCACTCCTCCCTTACACCCTAAGTGAAACAGTGAACCTTTCCTCCCAGCACAGTTGAAATCTCAGCTCCTTCATACGCTCAAACTATCACCAACATAATTTAAGTCTGGAATTCTCCTTCCAGGAAAGGTAAATTATCACAGTTCCCCTCACTTACACCAGCTATAGATGCTAACTTGAGTATAACATGATCAAGCTGAGCATTAAAAAAGGCATTGGGGTAAATTAAAAAAAAAAATGAATACATAAACAAGCCACAAGAACTTGAAGAAAAGCCAAGAAAGGTGAAATACATCTGTACTTGGATGGCAAACAATGAAAGGATTTTTCTTGGGTTTTTTTTTTAATCTTTTTAAAGAGCTGTGTTATTTTGTACAAGCTCAAGAAGCACAGAGGAGGGTGATTCTGAATTAATACTACTGATGATATTCTACAGGAGTGAGTGGAAAGGATAAGGTACACGTATTCCTCATGGATAACGAAATATTTTTCATAAATTTTGTATTACAAAATCTCCTGACTGTGGTAGTCGAGCCGTATACATCATTACTGAGATGTACTCATGTCCTGAGTAATACAAGTGGCTGCAACAAGCAAGGACTTAAGGCTGTTACAGCTATTGGTGAACAAGGGGTTTAAATAATACTTCTGGAAAAGAAAAAAAACGTTGGAAAAGCATTGGAAATCCCAGTGAAAATCCTCACAGCTACTTCACTAACACATTTTCCTTCGCAACACAGAAGCAGCCAAAAGCTGGTCAAATGGTAACGAGGTCATGACAATGCTTAGGAGTGAATCTGTCCCCTCCCTGAAAATGGTTCAATTATGGGATTTCTAAGACTGTGCATTGCAGCAGAAGTGAATGAACGAGTCGTGTCAGCTTTCTCCCAAGGGACATAAGGCAAATGACTCAAAACGACGAATACACCAACAGGTCTAATTACCAAGCAGCACAACCACCCACAGGGCATTCCCAAACGTCTGTATTGGCATTAACTGTCTCAGGGCATTAGGCTCCATATTCGAGGAACTGCTGCTCATCAGGAAATTAGAAAGGGAACAAAAATAGGTGGGTTTTTTTTACCTTTTAACAGACATTTCATTGATGAAGACTTACTTGCATCTGTCTAAAGGACGGTGCGTTGTCATTTGTATCTTCAATTTTAACGACAACTGTTCCTGTAGTGCACAAACCAAAAGGCTGACCTGCCATATCTCTCACTTCAACTAACAAAGTGTAACTGGGCACCAACTGAAAAGATGAAGAAAAGCATACAGGAGTTTGACATACTTGTGTTTTTAATCACATAGTTACAACACAAGAGTATAACTAAATATTTCCCTTCCCAACTCTGCTCTAAATACACTGCTCCCCTACAAAATGAGGCAATTAGCCTTGGGGCTTTTTCCCTGTAGTTCCAAAAGGAAAACAAGTGAAATACTTTTCAGTGGCTAAGCAGCACTGAGTTCAGCATCTGTTTGTACAGTGTATGCTATAACCTGTCCCAAGCAAAACTTCTCACAGCATCAGCGTTATTTTCCAATCCCTGAAGTTTTGGAAGATAAAAATGATGTATTTCCATCTGCTAGCTACGTCTCCCCTTTGGCCAGGCAGAGTATTCCCTTGGGTTTCCAGCTGGTAAAGTATTTCAGTGAGGATGACCAGAAATGGTGCCACAATCAGCCTTTGTTTGGGCAATACGTGACAGAACAATGCCTGCCATTTGGCACCATCTGCCCTTACCAGCACCAAGTGGATCACTGATAAGCAGCCCACTTAAATCCCTGCCTTGAGCCACAACAGCAAAAGGCTTTTTTTTAGCCTTATAAATACCTGAACAACCCAGGGAAGTGGGACTGGGGGCGGGACTGGGCACAAAACAAGGGATTTTTGTAAACCAAGACAGTTCCAAACGCCTGGAAGTAGCATGAGGTTTCTCAGGTGGAGGAAAGAAATCTCCTGTTCCACTTCATAGATTTATCTTTAAAAGACAGGCAGTGGACTCGTTTTTCAAGCTTTCCTTCCCCTCAGTAGTCCCTGTGATTGTTCCCTTCATGCCATGGCGATGCTCACAGTCGCTGCATTCTTCTCTCACTAAGGAAGGTTGTGCACTTGCAGGTACGCTGCTTAACTTTGCAACACACTGCCAGTGTGCATTTTCAGCCATGAGGCAACGTAACTATGCCGGAATATGACTCTCTTTATCCTCAAAAAAGATGTGTCCGTAGTAGTATTTTTTTCTAGAATGACTGTCTTATGCTAGAAATAGTAGTTTGAATTACACAGGCCTGGAGGTTTTTCTAGCATAAACAATCTCTCACATGACATTTTAGCAAAAAACAAACAATCCACCCCAAAATAAAATAAAAATTAAAACATCCTGTATCTTATTTACTTGAAAGCTAGCTGATAAGAATAAATGGTTTGCACTTTAATTTTAGAAATGTTATTATTACTGTTTACTGTCAGATATTGGAGGTATTTCTATTGAGTATAGGACGACTGACTACTTCCAGAAAAGTTGGTTCATCTTCCCTGTAAAGAAGCAAGAAGCACCTCAAATGGAGCTGGATTAGGAGGAAACAGTATCTCCTGAATCTCCAGGGATTCATGAACAGAGAAAGAATAAAAATCCATAGGATTAGGTGGAACAGAAGAGTGGCGGGAGGTCCCCTGCCAGATCAGACAGAATACAGTAGATCTATGCAGAAACTCTTTGGACCCATTACAGGTCTCTGGAAAGCTTCAGAAGCTCCTTAGAGAGGGAAAGAAAAAAAAAAAGTAACAGAAATTATGTATCTGTGATCCCTGTGCCAGCAATTCAGCGTTAAGCAGCTATCTGTGTGCACTAGGTGACAGCTAAAGATGCTTCAGGAAAAGATCACCTCTCTGTCCAGCTGCGGTAGTAATACAGAAAGGACACCTGTGTCACCATGTAAAGAAAACGCTGGGGTTACTGGTGGAGTTTGTGACACAATGCGGTATTTCAAGGTAGTGTGCAGAGTATAAGGCTCATCTCTGTCCTCTGCAGTCACTTTTCCAACAAACACACCTGTGAAAATAATACAGCGATTTTGAGCTCCAGAAAAATCTGTAAATAATCAAAAATTATTTGAACAGGTATTCTTGTTTTAGATACATGAAAATAGCTATTTGGTCATTTAGCTCTAAATGAAAATAATACTAAAACCACAATAAATAATAGTAAAAATACAGTAATAGCGTAAAATTGTCTAATTTAATCCTCCGGCTATTTTTGTTTTCCTTCGTAGATGAAGCTGTAATTATTGCAGGTGTCAGAAAAAATAATCCAAAGAAATATTAAAAGTTTAGCTCTTCATTAGTGTTTTTGACAGTGGCTTCCAACTGAGCATCCCAAACACAGCCGGGGGGGTGGAGGGGGAGCTTCGGTGCTTCCTGCTGTGGTTCCAGCTGCAGTACTGCCTGGCGGGGGGTGCTGCTGTACTTCATCCCTACGGCCCGAGTGCTTTCGGGTTTACTTTAAATCAGTCACTCACCCAGAAAGAAGAGCAGCAGCTCCGAGAACGAAATGCAGCTGGTGTTTTGGGGTGAAGGGGAAGGCACCTTCCTTCCTTTTTTGGGAAGCAAGGCAGACTTTC